TTTGACGCTTGTGAAAATTGGAAGGGTGTGACTCACCTTTGCATGGCCTCCCTCTCTTCCATTTATAGTGTAAGTTAGAAGAAGCTGTACTTTCCCTGCACACTCTTGTTCATTTTCCTGATAGAAAGGAACCCATCTTGGACGTTCTCTCTGCGGCCAGGACCCGTGGCACCATACACATGGAACGAATTCCTGGAATCAATTGATACATCACCAGTGACATAAAGGATGGTGGACACATGCAATGCAAGGGCAAGAAAGACGGACACCAACCGTACGCACCAAACGGCACCAAAGCAACAGATACCAGAATGCACCAATCGACATACAAACAGAGCGAGCATATTCAGGAAGCATGACCAGGCAATGGCTAAGACTCTGAGCATCTATGCAGATTGGACGACAGGAAAAATGCAAGAGAGGCATGGATAACAAATAATATCACCGCAGGCTGTCTCCAACTGACAGAAAAATCACAGGCCTTCCTTCTGCTGAAGGAAAGGACACATTGGCTTGGGACGGTGTATTAGCAGAAGAAAATGGGACCCTGCAAAGAGGGGGAATGGCAACCACAAACAATTATAAAAATGCACACTGAAGAAAGATGAAGACCACAGGAGCTCACTCGCAACCGCATTCTTCCCCATGCTCTTGCGTGCGAGCATGAGGCGCCCACCAGATCCATACAGAAGATCCACAGCACCCTACCCCACGAAAGGCCAATAGACAGGAGCACAAAAGTTCGGCAGGACTGCACGAGTGGTTTAAGTTATGCACACAAGCAAGAGCCCAATTCGTACAGTGACAAAAGAAGATACTGGGAGGCATGCTGAATGGATCCATAGCTTGTGTAGTAACAGGTAGGTCAATGTGGAAGCAGAAGGACTCTACACGTTACATCAGGAACTTGTCTTGATTTCATGAGATAAGACAGAAACATGAACTCCCTGTTTGTGTGGGGACATGTATGCCTGCATGAGAAATTACGGAAGCACCAGTCTGAGCTATAAAGCGAGACGAGCCCAGCTCCCGGTGGACAACGCAAGTGCGCATTTCTTCTTACACACCCCCAACTGACTTGAGAAAATCTTGAGGCAAGTACATGAACCGTGGGCATATCCGGCTCACCCTTTCATAGATTGACAATACGAGAGATGCAAGCACGAGATTGCTTCTCCAGTTCCTGGCCAAGACATGGCCAAAGAACGTCTTCACAGCATCCTTAGATCTCTGTGCAGAATAAGTATGTGTCACACTATGCTTGGAGTTTACCCTCACTGGTGTACAGAAGGTCGGACTTCTACATGTCTATCCTCAGTACAGAAGTGAGCCTACAGCTCAGCATCTCGGTCAGACAAATGAAGATACGGCAAACAGTCAATAGCAGTACGGTTGGAAGGCAAGTAAGAAAGGTGAAGGACAATGTGGAGAAACAATCAGTTATAGATCCAACAACAACGTCAACCAAAGCCTTCACAAAGGAAGGCCGCTTATATGTGGCAATCAAGCTAATTCATTCACATCTTCTATGCACAAAGAGTGTTCACAAAATCATACAGTTCTCACAGAACCATACCCTTCACAGTCATGCTCACATATGGCAATCAAGTACCCCTCACAGTCATGATTACATATGGCAATCATATGGCAATCAAGAAAGTAAATGAATTGCCACAAGTTAGAATGGAAGCAGAGCTTCTTTCGACAAGGGCGCTGAAAAATGGTGGATGTAATAACGGATAAGCAATCTGAATGGCTGGATGGAAACTGAGAGACACTTACATGTTCATCATCAATCGCAGACAACGGAACAGCTAGCTTCCCCTTCCATCCTTTTGTGTCAAAGACGTCCAACATTAGATCATCCCCTGCACTCTCAGGGTGCCTGCACAACACATGTTCAGACGTCAGATTAGGTCTGATCTGCACCGGGGCAATGAAGAGACAAACATCAATTCGAAATGCATGATTGGGTCTCAGCAATTGTCATTCCCCTCAAATGGCAATTACAGCGCAGCTGTCATTTATAAACCGCCTTAAATTGAAATCACCTTTGCCCCGGGCCAGCGGCCTTGCTCAGTTGGTAAAGCACGAAAGCTACATTCAAGAGGTCGTGGGTTCCCAGCAGCTTCCTTTCTAATTCACACCGCCCACTAAGGCATGCTAAAGACTTCACCAGCTGAGATAGACAGCTCGCAGACAGCTCGCCGCCTGTGGTTGGTTGGACGGAGGGCTCCCTCCCTTAAATGTGGTCTGGTTAAGGGAAGTTGGTGCCACCCGCCCACCCGATGCCAGGGTTTAGGCTCAACCCATAACTCTTAGTGTAGATTAGCCTTAGCTATTAGATTTCGGGATTGGTGTGACTGGCCTAGCAGTAGTCTTTGACCCTAAACCCCGTGACTCTTTGACCCTAAACCGACAAGGAGCTGGGTTCCTTGCCGGTCGGGTTGCTGTCCCCCTTGTAGGTCTGGAAGGTGGGCAAAAAAAAAAAAAACTTCAAGTACACCGCCTGAGTAGGTAGTCAGAGATGAAAAAATATTGAGAGAAGAAAATAGCGTAGTAAACGCAGCTGTCCCCCATGCAAGGAGAAGGCAGCTTGCATTAAACACACACACACACACACACACACACACACACACACACACACACACACACACACACACACACACACACACACATCCGCCTCTACCCCGTTATCTTCAGATCCAAGACTGTTTACTTGTACAAAAGTAGCCCGTAGAATGAATACTGCCCAATCTAAACAAGTTCAGTCGACACACTGTCAGACTTGTGAACATCAGAAGGCAAGGTGGACCAAACAGATCTTCATGGGAGTTCATGCTGAACCTCAGAACCAAACTAAGCTGACACGGTTGGTCACCAGTCATCAAATGAGGTCTACCCGCATCAAATGAGGTCTACCCGTCCCTCCAAGATACTGCTCTATGGTTGGTCAAAAGTCTGAGACCCACAATCTCAAAGGAGGCACTACAGAAGGACGGCGGTGGCGGTGGCAGTAGCAGTTCACAATTGTTTTTATCATCACCACCCTAGTATTGGATGGTTCATATCGCAACTTCTTACCTCAAAGCCACTTAAGGAAGGAAACAGTATGATCCTATCACTGCATTTTATTTAACTGAAGATCCTCGCAAATGCTTTCCTCCGATCTAATTAACTGATGGCCTTTTAGGTCTGCTGCCCAAGTGGTCTCAATACCACCAACATGCTGGACCGTCAAGCTGGAGGCCCTGCTCAAAAAGTTGTGGCGTTGCCTGGAGGATTGTCACCAATCATTTTGTACACCGTTATTGCTCCACCCTTGTCATGGATGCAGTCGCCAAGGCATCCAGCTTTTATGACGGAAATTGCAAGTTTAATCCTGGCAAACATGTTATGGATATAAAACGCCGGACAACACCCAGCCAATGTGACTGAATGGTACATCATACTACAAACATGTAACTGTTGAGGAATAGATTGAATGTTCAAATCCTGGCAAATAAGATTGATACAGTAGGATTACCCCCCCTTTACCAAAATGAAAATAAAAAGAGAGGGCAAACGACGTTGTACGCATTGCCAGTTGGAGACAGCATTGTGCTGGTTGCCAAGGTATCCAGCTTTTATGTCAGAAAATGCAGATTCCATCCCATGCAGCATTATGGATATACACGCCAGACAACACCCAGCCCATGTGGCTGAGCGGTACATGTAACTGATGATGAATAGATTGCATGTTCAAATCCTGGCATGACAAGATCAATACAATAAGGTTAGGAGCTACCCCCTTTCGTTTATGAAAAAACAGAGAGGGAGTACTTCGCCACAAACGTCTTCTTGTCCTATCACCATTATGGATTAATCACGTAGAGCTGCATCATTTCCTACACTTGAATATTAATCATTTAGGCAAAACAATTATGACCAGACATGATTGCAGAAACATGGTGGGGTTAACGTGGAAGGGGCTGACCGGACTCAGAGACCAATTCAATGAAAATAACTGAAAAACAATGCACTTGAGTATGATTCGACTTGGTGAGATGAGCTTGTGTAGTATGATGTTTTTTTTTACTGGGTTTGAGCTGCGTACAATTTCACAATCTATCAGATTCTGCTGGACGAACAGTTGATTGACTCAGGCTGCGTACAAGACTCTGCAATTCAACAGACATTCTGATCGGATGGCAAAAGGTTGGACTAGAATATAGAGATTGCATTAAGCAGGACGGGGTTCATTTGTACAATTGGGTGGGATCGAAATATGTTCAACAAACATTGGGATGCAATGCTTACATTGTGATAGTTTCCCCTGTGCCAGGCTGAATCCGAATAGATTCATCGAGTGTCCCACTCTTGAGTCTCAAAAGGCAATAGAAGCCCTCCTGAGGGCCCTCTTGAAGGACCTTGTGACCCGTCACTCGGTCAAAGAAGCGTCCAGACACCTGCTTCATGTACTGTGCTCCTGCCTCCACATACCTGCGACTACTCTTGGGTGACGGTTGGCGTGGTTTTTCGGCCGTCCTCACCCTCCTCACTTGTTCGCAAACGGTATCACAAATCAAACATACAAAGATAAATGACAATGATCAGGAAACATAACATGGCGACAAAAATGCAGAAACAGGGACAGGAAGAGGGGCACGAAATGAGTGCAATGGGATATGAGAAGCCGAGGAAAACCAACCGACTGGAGCCTCAATAACCGAGACAAATTGTATTTGGAGTCTAGAAGTGTAAGCTTCGACCTCGGACACACCAGCGGGGAGTCCAGGATTGGAGGCTCATCTGGCCTGCAGGATACATCCTGGTACAACGACACTCCAGAACCAGTGAACCCGGACAAACCAGTGCAGAGTCGACCACCAGTTTCTCAAGGGAAAATTACTCTGCATACCTGGAGAGCCAACATTAACAGGTGTGCCCTCTCTCTCCTTCCCACTCTCGAGAGACGGTTAACGGAGGCCTCAATTTTCAGACCACTTGTCAGGCCATTTATAACAAAACCCAAGGGTCATTTTAACCAAACTTGCCACCAATTCATAGAGTGGAGATCATACTAACTACTTACAAAAAAAAAAAGAAAAAGAAAACTTTAAAAACCTATAAAACAGCAAGGCAAAGTGTTTTCATGCCAAATTCACTCTTTTTAGTTTTCAGAATTTTCAGGATTTTCAAGGTTGTCAGGATTTTCAGGATTTTTCAGGGCTAGCCAAAACAGTCAACTCCAAGACCCTAACAAACACCAACCTTGGCACACACAGACCTTGACCAAAAATAAAACAGGGCAAAAGAAGAAAAAAAAAAACAGAAAAAACTAAAAAAAATGATTTCCAATGCACTTTTCAGGGTTGAGGGGGTTACCCAGGGCTGGGGGTCCCTGTTACAGTGAAAGATGAAGCAATGCAAAGGGGTCCATTGGGATGCACTGTGATGGATTGCCTTTTGGAAAAGAATAGTCGTGTCACTCTGGCATACAGAACCCATTTCACAAATGACGAGTTCAGGGTTTCCAGACAACGCATTGAGAGGATATCACACACCCAAAGACAACCCTAAGTTGCGGACTCAGGAGAAGGGGTTACCAGAGCCCTAAATTTTCATTTTAGGCCACACGAACAACCCAAAGACAACGCAGTGGAACAAAAATACCACAACTCATCAGCAATCCATAGAGTGGACAACAAATAAACCAACAGCGAAAAAAAATAAAAAAAAGTAAAAAGAAAGACCAAAGGATCCTAAAACACTAAGGCGAAATGTGTTTTCATGGAAAATCCACCCATTACAGTTGTTCAGGATTTTCAAGGCTTGGCAAAACAGTAGTCTCCAAGGCTGCAACAAACACCAAACTTGGCACACACAGTTGACCCAAGAGTAAGACGGGGGCAAAAAAGGGAAAAAAACTGAATTTTTTATCCCCAAATGCCCTTTTCACAAGTTTTCAGTGCTTGGAAGTTTAACTTATGGGTTGAAAAGTGGGGATCCCGGTCAACTACTTTAGGGCGAGATTCAACCCCAGAGTCCCAGAGTCCCATCGGTGGGCCTCAAAGGCCTGTTCGTAGCCCCAATCGGTGGGCCTCGAAGGCCTGTTCATAGCCCCAATCGGTGGGCCTCAAAGGCCTGTTCATTCATAGGTACAGTACCCCGCTAGGTTAGGTAGGCACCGGTAGGCTTTTCTGCTTAGGAGTCAAACAGTGGGTCCAGTCACAGCTCAGACCCAGGAGAATTCGTGAAAACTCCAGGTACTTCAAAGGCCGACCATGGCCGGCAAGCAGGGGTACCAAGCTGCAAAAGTCCAATATTAGAAACTGCAGAAAAATTCAAAAAAAAAAAACAAAAAAAAAAGGAACTGCATCGAATACAAAAGCCCGATGCCACGAAACCATCAGCACAATTTGCCATTTGTGCTTGCGGAAGAAGCGCTGACACTGTCTTATGTTACCAGGCGTCGAAGCGAGCATGAGCAACTATCATGTACTACGGGTCAATGGCACAGGGGGCCATGGCTGTAACCCCGAGAGAGAGACGTCGTTGAGGGAGTAAGACATTCAGAGAGAGATTGAGGTCTGAGGGTAAACTAGAGAGAGCGAGAGCTAGTTGTCGTGACTGTTGGCAGCCATCGCCGCCAATTAAAGCATATATACGATCTGTTATTCAGGACTGTGGATTTCAAAGCAATTTCAGAAGTGTTGTCATCTCGTGTTGATTTGCATCTCACGTGGGTAGTGTTGTGTCATGACATGTGAACTCGTGAGGATGTGAAATCTGGGGTTCACAGCAACTCACACACTGCCAGGTTTATTAGACAAGATCTAGCTCCTCGTCCCCCAAATCGCCCCATTTGGATAACGAGTATTAACAGACCAATAGTCAAAACCAAATACGGAGTAGATTATGGCTGCTCACCTTGAACTTTCAAAATGCCAACACTTCTCTTCGACTGCAGAAATGAGTCGCCAGTCAGGAGTCAGAACAACACAGAGGGACAGAATGGGGAAGCCAAAGGGCAGGACAATACCACAAAGTTGGTGTTAGTCAAATCGCTGAAAGCATCGGTCAAGTACAAAAAAAAAAAAAAAAGATCACAAAGCAACATTAGACTTGGTGATACTTGATTCTGTACAAAACTCTGTACCTTAGAACCAGCCGTTACTTCACCGATGCATGTTTTTGCCCATCCCAAAAGAGATCCAAACAGTCAAGGCACACAACTTACGTGGCTCCACCAGCCTTTCCCCAGCAGGACTCCAAGCCTTTCAACGGCTCGTAGTCCCGCTCGGAACCCTCAGGGCTATTTTTAAAACACCAGTTCACACAGGCCTGTTTTGACAAAAATGCATTTTGCCGAGCCTGTAGGTGCCAGCCTCGTTGAAAACTCGAGTGCTGGACCTGCTTTGCCAGCAGATGGAAAGGAAAGCAGCTCTCTCTCTCTCTCTCTCTCTCTCTCTCTCTCTCTCTCTCTCTCTCTCTCTCCCTCTCTCTCTCTCTCTCTCT